TGGCGAGGTCAGCACAGGTAGCTCCACTCTTCCTGTAAAACGTTGAGTATTTTCCTTTTGTGGGTCCTTCCTTTTACAGAAAGGTCATCCTTGATGTGGTGGCATGAATCCAAGATAAACTTTTACTAAACCATTGAAACAGAAAGCTAGAACTCCTGTGTCAGAGACATGGAAAGCCTTGAAAAGAACCCAGAGAGAAGCAATATAGCACCAAACCACAGTCACCCTTGTGAAGTAATGAATAAAACAGATCTTAAAGAAAGGATATCACTTTCATAAAAGTTTCCACTGATCACAATAATGGAGGGAAGAAAGAACAGAGGAAACCACAAATAAAGGAGCTAAAGGTTCACAAAAAAGCCTGTCAGAAGCCTTACCAGCAAAAGGGATAATGGGGATTTTGCTCAATAGGACCCACCTAGACTGGTGATGGTACGTTAGACAGTATAGGCCGCTGTATGGTGTGGTGTGGTGTGGTCTGGATGCCAGTGGAATTCCTAGCCAGCTATTTGATCAACTTGTATTCCCTAAGTAGAGACTTGCACTCAAAAAAATCTTTCACAATGATGGATACAGGCCACTTTCAGCTTATAGAGGCTATTTGTAATACTTGGTTGAACAATGTCTTTGCTACCCTTCCTCGGAGTAGTAGTGCCCATGCCAGGCGCAGGAACGTGGAAGAGCAAGAGGGGTAGATAGGAATGGAGCCAGAGAATTGGAGTCTGGGTTAAGACGTGTACATTTAATACTTAAGGAAACGCTTCAGGTGCTGGCTCTGAACATGTCCCAGGAAAAAGAGCAGGTCACTATTCATGGAATTCTTTGTTGCTGCCATGCATGGCCACTTTCTTATCTCAGTTTTTAAGTGGTTCCGTTAATCAGGAAGCCTGCCCTCCAGCAGCTTTTGACAATTCTAAACAAACAGTCCAGACTCTTCCCTGAGCCCATGACCACAGCTGAGGTTGTACTGAGCCTCTAACTCTCACCTGGGACTGCATCTGGCACTTTGTATCTGCTAGAACGCACACCGTCTCCAAGAAGAGCAATGGAGGAGCACTTACAGGACCAGAGAGTCACACCTCGTGCTCGCAGAAGGGATGTGTATGATGCACAGTTAATGTCATCTTTCTCGTCCCGCCTTTTCAATGTTTCCCACTATACAGCTCTGATACTTTCACCATTCCAGTGGTTCTGAGTCCATCATTAGCCATCTCTTCCTATTCCATATGAGCTATGATCAGAAAATAGCAGGTCACAACATCAAACACACATTTAACTTTGCATATTCAGGAATTCAGTGAGAAAAAGAAAGTAGTTTCAATAAAGTGGCTGATTCCAGTTGACGTTCTGCTCAGAATAAGACAGGAGTTGTGTTGTTCCTCCAATTGGTCTCATTTCCTATGAGCCTCTCATAGGAAGGCAACTCTGTATCTGTGTTATTCTCATGTTCACACATGCATTTTACACAGCATGGCCCTTTGCTGCAAGCCAAGTGCCTCGTTCGGTGCACAATTGAAAAAAAATGGTGACTCATTCTGCTACAGGAAGGAAAAATGTGTATTAAATTTATTAAAGAATGGTTTGTGAATCTCAAATGAGACCTTCCTTCCTAAAGGATTTTTAGAATAATTTTGACTATGAGATTTCTGTCTTATCAGTTGCCATTTAACTACCTTTTGACCTTAATAGCAAATTGCTGTTCACGTTCAGATCTGAATGTCTTGCGGTCATTCTTCTATAGTTTAGCACTAATAGTCCAACCTGAGTTGGAGGCAGTGAGTCATCCAATTTAATATTTCTCTGTGTAGTAAACTTATAGGGAATACAAAGATTGTTGATATTTCTAAGTAAAAATTACAAATTATGTTTATTTAGCCCTTGATATACTATCGAACACTGCTAAGATGTGTTTTCACCCACCATCTCATCTAATCTGCAACAACCCTCTGAGGTAGGCCCTTTTATCCTGATGTTAAAACATAGTGAGTGACGTAGAGGCAACCAAGGAAGCGCATACACACCTTTCTGTGTATTTCCCAAAACACGGGTATTCCCAGGAAAGCAGCCAAGAGCCGCTGCAGGAGCAGATCAGCAAGTGCAAATTCACATGCAGGCTCCAGACAAGCTGTATTTCAGGTTCTCGTTTAGAAATGTGCTGTTCAGAAGTTGAAATGTATTTTCCAAAGGAAATGACGTTGTCACAAGAAGAGCATATTTACCCATAATGTGCCTAAAGTAGTAAAAACAGACCCAAACCGTTTTGTGTACCAGTGTTTTCATGGAAAAGTTCACTCAGAATTTCCTCTTGGGTGGCTGTGGAAGGGGGGCCTGTGCTAGAAACAGGAGAGTCCCTAGAAACGTCGTCCACATGAATCATGGTGACTCGAGGCCTGTGGTGGGTGTTGACAGAGGGCGGAGGGTGGAGGAGTGAGTGGAACTGGGTACGGAGGGGACATGGGGTCAGGAGAAACAGGAGAAAGCTTGTGAGGGCGCAGGGCAGGATGGCCGTGCTAGAGGGCAGAGGGAGAAGATGAGAGAGTTGGGGGACCATGAACTCTCTAGGTCGAACCTCTGAATCTCCTGTGTGGCCTTTATTTCTTCTCCTGACCCCCAAGTTTTGGCCAGCCTGCTTCCCTTTTATAGCTGACACTTGGGGTATCCCTGTGAAACCGAGACAGCCCCAGGCTGCTGCTTTTTTTTTTTTTCTTTCTTCTTTTTCCCCCCTAATGCAGCTGCTGCTCACACAGGTGAATGGCCCTAAAGGCTTTTAACTTCTCTAAAAGAAAGCTCATCTTAGAACATTTCTCTTTTCGCTTGGGCCTGGAAGAGCAAATCCCAGCCTGTGGATGCTCAGAGTGGTTGTGGGGGTCTATAAGGAGCTGAACTAAAATGCATAGACATTCCCCATGTAGGTAAACAAGGGTGCAGCTTGTGGAAAAGGGCGGAGCCCTGCACTGCATTCTCTCCTCTTGGGCCCTGTGGCATCCTCAGAATGCAAGTGGAAAGAGAGAGTGGGGAGGGGAGAGGGGAGGGAGGGGGGTATAAGACAGTGTGATCTTTGCATCATGGTTGGGGTGTGTTCTCAAGGGAGCCGTCTCCACCAGCCATGTAGGGACCACCTGGGCACCTGAGCTTCTGCCAGACTCTTCGAGTGGTACTCATCCCGCCTTCCTTTACCCACTAGCCAGTGTTTCCATGATTTCCCTGGGAGCCGTGAAGAGTCCGCGTTCTCAGGCTGCATCTGAGCTCACTGAATCTGCAGTTCCAACTGAAGGGCCCAGAAGCTGTATGATGGACACGTTTGTCAAACACTGCTTGACTTTCCCTTTACCTTCCTGGTCTTTAAAAGTTCCTCTGACATCATAAGCCCCTCTCTTACTCAGGATCATGCTTCTCATAACTTTATGACGCTGCTGAAATATGACTTCCTCAACATTGCCTGATTTCCCTTATGCAGCAGTGGGATGAGACAGCAAAAAAATCATCCTTGACCATTCTCTTTACCATCTAAATTAGTTCCCTCATTTCATTCTCTTATAGCATCTTATACTTCTCTTCCTGAACATTTATCACCCAGTTTATAACTTAGGTATTTGCGTGATGTCTACCTCCTCTCTAGCACCAAGCACAGGGAACGCTTAATAAATATTTTGTGTGTGAATGAATGAATGGAAAAGCAGTGCTGAGAGAGGGGGTACTAAGAGTGGGATTGGATGCTGCTGAACAAATAAAGAACTGAGCATATGGAAACTTGAATCTACCATCTAAACTTTTTACACATCAACTAAAATCAAGGTAGATGGACCCAACAGTAAGTGTGTTTAGGGGGCGTTGGGTCAGATTATTTAAGACAAAAAAAATTTATTAAATACCCAAGGTATGCAAAATGCACTATGGATACAATTTTGTGTAAGGCTGAGACAATCTCTGTTTCTATGGAACTTACAAATAATCTAGCAAGGATAACATATTATGCAACCAGTTACACAACTTCATAATTATAATTTTCGTAAATGCCACACAAAAAAACAAAAAAAAAAAACATGGAGACCTGAAATGGTCTGTAGGGCATTGAGCTAGTCATAGACCTCCTCAGACATGGTGGGGAACCCAACATACTCTATCCCAGTGATCGGCAAACTCATTAGTCAACAAAGTGGCAAACTGTTCTATCCCATCTCTTGTCAAAGTTGGCATGAGGGGGGGTGCTTCCGTGTAATGGTTTCTCAACCTTGACACAATTGGCATCTTGGGTGAGATAATGCCTTGTCTGAGGGCACTTTCCAGTGCCCTATAGGAGATGTTTAGTACCATTCCTGGCTTCTACCCATTAGATGCCAATAGACCCCACAGTTGTGACAGTCACAGATGTCTCCACATAGCCAGATGTCCCTTACGCAAAATCTGTCCCCCCTCGCTCCACCAGGTGAGAACCATTGCTCTAATGAAACTTGTTTTTTTAAAATGTCTTTTTGCTTCCTTATGATTTATTCAAGTCAGTGCCAGGAATTTAATTTGTCCGTTCAATAAAGAAATGTTCAATACTTACCGTGTTCCCCCCAAAATAAGACATCCTCCGAAAATAAGACCTAGCGCATGGGAAGATAAGACATCCCCTGAAAATAAGACCTAGCGCAACTTGGGAGAAAAAATTAGTATAAGACACTGTCTTATTTTTGGGGAAACGGGATACTTACTAGGTGCCAGGCACTGTTCTCAGCACTGAAGACACAGCAGCAATGAAAGCCTGTGCTTTCTTGAAGTTGCATTCCGTGGAGAGATGGACCATGCCTTTTAAAATATGTAATATTTCAGAAGGAGAGGATGGGTTGGTCGTAGACGCCCTCTCTGATAAGAGGACATTTCAACAAGGGCTTGAAATAAAGCAAGAGAATGAGCCACATGAGAGGGAGCGCCGAGAGCAAGAAGCAAGCCATTGGAGGGCCTGTGCTTGACCTTGCCTTTCATTCTATACATCTAACCAACTGTCTGTGTTTCAGAGGGTCCACCACAGAAGGGCAGCTGAACGGACTCCAGAGCAACCTTAACTCTGCTTCAGCCGTACCCATCGCCAACTCCTCAGGTTAGTTGGCTCAGCAGCTGTCCCGCCCTTGAGGGAGGATACTGGGATTGGCACACGCCCTCTTCTGCCTTCGAAGAGAGCTCCCGTTCAAATAAGGAAGCACGCTGGCTTTCGGGCTTTCCTGCACTGGCAAAGGGCAGTTTGTTACATTCCTCTTTAAAATGGACATTTGCAGTTTGGGATTGAATAGTGTTTTGGATAGTTGGGACAGCTGAAATTTCCCATTTTCGGTCTGATCCTCTTAGATTTGCTGTCTTAAGTGAGAAAAAAAAAATGCCTGTATTTGACTGTTTATCTAGTATTTCCACATGTAGTATCTCTCGTGGTCTGCATGACAGCCCTGTAAGTTGGATCTTCCTGTTCCGCTGCCCCAGATGAGGAAACTGAGGCTCAGAAAGTTGAGGGGCCTGGAGCAGACTGTGCTCGGATGCAGAGCCAGAGCTCTGGGCTTTGATCTGAGGCCTGTCATGCTAATGTCACTGGTCTCTTGCCAGGTAGGTGCTGAGGGCCCAGAGCCTCTCAATGTGGGAACCTACATGTAAGTTAGGCATCCTTGGACCACGGATAGTTTGCTATGAGTAATAATGCATGAAGAAGTACTCATAAGTAACCAGACAAGTGGGAGAAAAATCACATATTTCTTGTTGGTCACCCACGGTGGATAAAGGAACATTCTGGGCGCTGAGGTACATGCGCGGTGAACAAGACAGTCCCTGCTGTCAGGGACCTTACAGACTCAGGGCGAGAGAGCAGTCAGCATGGAGCATGCTGCAGGGCCATCCAAGCCAGGGACGGCGACGAGTGGAATCACATAGATAACACTGGCGGAGCATTTGCTGTGTGTCGGGCAGAGTTCTGATCGCTTTGTGTGTAAAACTCATTTGTTCACAAACAGGCTTATAATAGAGGAACCGTGCTCCCCATTTTTCAGCTGAAGAAATAATGGCACAGGCAGCTTATGAAACGTGCCTAAAAGTTCACAGCTAGTAAATGGTGGGGCTGTCTTTAAACCCAAGCAATCTGGCCCAAGCCCTTAGAGAGAGGGCTTCTTAGAGGAAGAAACATCTAAAGCTGAGGTTTGAATGCGAGCAGGTCAGCCAGGAGAGGGGAGGCGTGGAGTGGAAGGAGGTCTAGGAAGAGGGAAGATGTGTGCAAAGCTGTGTTCTGGAAGCCTTCGTGTACCTGGGACTGGGGCAGGAGCAGGAGCAGGAGCGGCAAGAGAAAAGGCAGGTGGCAGGTGGCAGGGGCAGTTTATGAGCCGTGCAGGGAGCTTGGCCTTAAGAGCAGTAGGGGGCCATCAAGGAATGTGCGGATGTGTATGGGGGGCGGGGGGAGGGGACAGGTTGGTGGTTGACATAACGCACCTTAAAATGATTATAAGATCTCTGAAAAGCCAGGTTTCATATATCCCATAGAGTTACTATGAGGATTAAATGAAGCAATATATAGAGAAAGATTCTGAGACTACATCCAGGTAAGGTAATAATATAAAAGTATAAGGATTTTATTCTGCACTTAAAATCTTAGGAACTGAATTCGAGAAATTGTTGATGTGCATCAACTTGCCCTCCCCTCAGGAGAAAAAAAGCATTATTAGAACATGGTAATTATTTTTAAGAAAATAAAATTTCTGCCTGGAACGGTTAGGGACTGAGAATGAGTGGCTCAGAGAATCATGGTCTAGTTGGAAGGGTACTCGTTAGTACAGTGGTTAGAGCCCCTACAGCTCTTCAGTCTGAAACTGGAGAGGTTTACAAAGCCTGTGAGATCCGAGAACCTGGCCTGTTTCATCTGCATGTCTAATTGATAAGCACTAAGCTGAACTCTGCATGCACTCTGCCTGAGGACAGTGGAAATGTGAGGGCCAGGTGGGTCAGACTTTCAGCATCTTGATCATGAGTTAATATTTACTGACTGTTGAAGTTACTTCGAAGATTTTGTAGCATTCCTACTGAATTTGATATCGGCATAAAACCACAGAGCAAAGAGAACTTGCACTTCCCCTTGGATCCTAAAAGCTACCTTTCTCCCTCTTCTATGTCAGATGAACATATATTCTGCTCACCTTGTTTAGGTAGCCTTTTTACTGCTGTAGTCACAGATGACTCTTGGCCTCTATAGTTCCTTGAACTTGTTTCTGTTCTATGGCTTTTCTGATGTCCTGGTCCTTAAGAAAACACCGGTGTACCTGAGGGAATAGGTTCAGGCATTTTCCATACTTCCCAATAAACATTTTACACCTGAGCAGTATAGCTAATTAGTATAAACTAATCCTGTTAGAGTTATTTATACAGCTAGTAAATACCATGTTTTTCCGAAAATAAGATCTAGTGCATGGAAAGATAAGATATCCCCTGAAAATAAGACCTAGCGCAACTTTGGGAGAAAAAATTAATATAAGACAATGTCTTATTTTCAGGGAAATGGGGTAACTACCTGGCACTTCATAGTTTCAACTAAAATCATGTGTTTTTCTATATCCTGTGTAGACTTAAAAGGGGTTCAGAAGGGTGAGCTATAAAAAGGTTAGGTTGCTATCAGAAACATTTTTCTTTAAACTTACAAGGAAAAATAAGCCTCATAGTAAGTCAAAAAATTTACACATCTCTCTCATAGTTGAGAAGTCTGTGCCCACCCAGGAATCACTAAACTGGTTTTGAAGGTTTTAACCCGTCTTATCCAGTTAACTCAGGTGGATAACATGGTTATTAATGAATCCCTGAATGTAGCAAAAGTCTAGTCCCTGGTCCCTTGAGCCTTCCCCAAGTCTGGCCAAGCAGGCCGTTATAACGCTGAGTGGCTTTGTTCTCAGGCATTCATCTCAGAGTGCTGTTGAAAAAAACTCAGTCTTTTTGCACAGATGGTGGCACAGTGACATTTTTATTGTGAACATTAAATGAGGTAGTGAATGTGAAAGCTCCCAGCAGAGTGCCTGAGATGTCCCATGGATGATATTTTCCCTCAACTTCCTTACCTCAGGCCACGTATTCTGTATATTCAGGCCATGGAAGGAAAGGTATGGAGTCAGCAAATTTGGAAATTTGAGAAGGAAGCTGTCGTGAAGGCCTTTGGCTCAAAGCCAAAGCCAGTGCCTTCCTTTTTTATGACCAGGGTGCTCTTGAGTTCTGAAGTGGCGATGGTAAACTAAAATAGCAGAGAGGCAGATTAGATAACCCGCATTTCTCTCATGCTGACTCGATAGTGTCAGCTACCATTATTGTAGGGGTCTGAAGCCATACCAGCTGCCCTCAGTGCGGCACCTCAGTTTCTGCCTGCATCTCTCCTGTCCTGCAGTCAATCTCTACCTGCCCCAGTCCCCCTTCCCCTTCTTCCCCTCCTCCCCCTCCTTCTCCTCCTCTCTTCCTCTTCCTCCTCTTCCTCCTCCTCCTCGTTCCCTTCCACTTTTCCCCCTCCTCCCCCAGCCCCTCCCATTTCCCCCACCCCCTCCTCCTCTCCCTGCCCCTCCTCTTCCTCCCCCTCCTCCTCTTCTTCCTCCTCTTCTTTCTTCTTCTTCAGTGTGCTTTTTAAGCTCTCAATGGTCTGTAGTTGATAGAAGAAACCTTGCCACTTTTTGAAAACCAATGATGGGTTCTGTTTACAAGAAGAGAGAAGCAGTGTGCTTGTTCAGTGTTATCCCGGGTCCTGGTAAAATGCACTTTAACTCCATGCTCTTTGCATGGGGATGCGGCATCAGCGCATCAGTGTGACTCTGCCTGCCCCCTCACTGTCTCTGAGAGACAAGATAAAAGAACTGATTTTACTATAAAGCAAACCCAGTGGAGCCAAGACCCTACAGATGTAGAAATCGCTTTAACTTCCAAGTGAAATTACTTGCCTGGCAGCTCTCAGTGGAATGAGCTATTCTCACCATCAGATTCTTATTTTTGTCACCATGCATTCTATATTGTTGAATTTCCTGGGTGGATCTCTGGAGTATAATAGATTAAAAATAAAAATAAATAAAGCTCTTGAGATGCTTGCCTTAGTGTGTGATGCCCTTTATTGCTCCCCAAAAGTTCTTCTTTCCCCAGAGCCATAGAGATAAGAATTTGGGTTGGTTACCCACTGTTACGCTGTTGGAAAGCAAGAGACTGAGCATGGATTTGTTATTTGGTAAGAAGGGGGGGATGGCAGCATCTGGGAGAATGTTGATGCCCTAAATCCTAGTTTTAGATTTGACCTCTTGTCCTTTCAGCCAAGATCAAGTAAAGTGTTAAGTAGGGATTTTTTTTACATTTTTCAGGATCTTTGGAAGCTCCCCAAGTTATTTTCGCCAGATCCAAACCTTTGCCCACCCAATCTGGAGCCCCTGCTACAATTATAGGACAGAGAAAATCAAAGTCGGTGAAGTCAGGGCCAATTTAAGGTAACAACAGTAAGAGCATATTTTTTGTTCTAACTTGCTGATTTTATGCTGCAGCAAGAGACTCAGTAGCTATCAAAATAAGTTACAGTTTCTCAAAATGACAAGGAAATTGGGATTTTCAAAAACAAAGCTCAGAAGGACTCTAAAAACTGTGGGTCAAAGTTAAGCTACAACTATCTTGCTTCTGTAATGGCCTCCCAGTAGGTGGCGCTGTGGCAGTAATAAATTCCTGTTATTACAGAGGCTTTTGTTTAAAAATATGGTGATGGCTAGGCCAATCAATGAAAGACACTAAAGCCATAATTGAATTACAAGTAAAATGTAACAGAATAAATCTAAAAACATAATATTTGTAGGTCAAATTGCAGTGGCATGATTATTAATGAAGGCATCTAGACTAGAGTTGGGTTAATTGTGAACTAGACTTGCAAATAATGGGAGACCAAAAAAAGGGCCAATTAAAATTAAAACACACACGCACACAATTTTTTAAATTTTTGGTGAGGCCATTTAAATTAATGACACTTTATTTTGAGTTAAGATAAACATATGCCATAATTGGCAGCAAAACAGACTATGAACCCCAGCCTACCCCCCATCCAAAAGGAGCTTCTATACTGAAGGACCGGCCTGAGTTGATCTTGTGAGGCTGTGTCCACACTGCACCAGCGCTGCACTCAATGTTTTGTTCACAGCAGTGGCTTTCAAAACTTTTCAGAGAATTCTATGACACCACAGGTTTTAATGACTGCTTTCCCCTTTGCTCTGCCCTACATTCTAAAGCATTAATGGCACACCTGCTATGAGCTTAATACTCTTCTTACCTCTAGGGGAATATTTATAAATGTATTTGAGAAGCATTATTCATCAAAATACCCCAGGAGAGCAAAAGAGGGAGGAAAACTATTTACCCACCACAGGATTCATTTACGTTGGATCAGAAAGCTTCAGATGTCTTTCCCCAGCCCATCTAAACTCCTTCCAAAAAGGAATGAGGAGAGAGAAGGGAACACCAAATCCATGGCTTGGTCACCTACCAAAATGTACCAGAGAAACTGAAAACAGCCAGAGTTCTATTGGTAATACTTAGCCAACGGTGCTTTAATTCTGATCCTCAGCAGTCTATTCAATGATGAACAACTAAGAAAATATAGAAAACTGAAGCGAGAAGGTCAGTATTTCCTTCAGGAGACTGGCAGCCAAAAGAATGAATGTGACATCAAGCTCCAAATCAAGCCGATGGCCTGCCAAGAAGTACTAATGTCCATCCATCTCCAAGACTGGGAGACTTGGACCTGCTACAGTTATAATATCACTCCCCTTGAGCCTGTTTCATTAGTATCCCTTACAATCCCCCCAGAACATTACATGGCAAAATAGCATCATCTTCAAAGAAGCCTTGGGAAAGAGCCTACCCTTCAACACTTAAGTCACTGCTGCAAACACCACCGCCATGAGCCCGAGCTGTGTACATAAGTAGGGATGGATGATGCTGGGCTTTGTGATCAACTGAAGGGGTGAGAGCATATGCCAAGTGTGCATGGCTCAGAAGACAGAGTGGGTCAGAGGCCCTCAGAAGTCCTGCCTCCCACGCACAGCATAACTGCTGGGGCTTCAGCGGCAGACCCACCAGCCTGGCAGATGGCAGTGGGCTGCCTCTCCGTGAGTAGGGGGAGGAGGTGGTTTACAGAGTGAGGAGGCAGGCCCCACAGCCCACAACCCTTCGCCAGAGTGCCTGCTTTCTTCGTGTGTAAATGCATTGTAGGCTGAATCACTGCTCGGGCAGAGGGCCCTTTAACCCCGTTACAAATGAAAGTCATCACCAGCTGTAATCAGTCCCAAACCTCTTTCTGTGTGGGTTTAAGGGAGGCCGTCAGGTTAGCATAGAGCAGTGTTTCCCAAAGTGTGGTACGCGCACCCCCGGGGGTACGGGAAGAGTTTGGTGGGGGTACGCGTTGCACCGGAGTTTGGTGGGGATATGCACTGCACCGTGCTTAGCTGCGCCTAATTTTATGTTCTCATGAGTAAGAGGGGTACTCAGCGTTACAAAAATTATAGAAGGGGTACACATATGTCAAAAGTTTGGGAAACACTGGCATAGAGGATTCCAAGTACGTGTGCAGCTTGGTCTGTAAGGCTGGGAAACCATCATTTGTCCCTATCAAAGAATGGAGGGAGCTGTGCTGAAGAATATTAGGGACTAAAGAACCCTACGTAGCTGCCCCTGGCAAATGTCAGTATTTTAATACATACATTGTCTGTGTCTTAGATTCTGTATTGTCTGTTCAGCATCGGTATATCATAGGGCTAATTATATTTTCTGTGTTCTTGATGCTTTAGCATTGGGGGGGGGGGGGGGGGGGGACGACATATACAGACCCAGAGAGACTGCCCCTCCCGGGCCTAGCTAATTCCTAAAGACAATATCAGCTTTCCTATGTAAACCAACTAATTCCCAATCTTATATTCCAACCTTCTCCTTAAGAATTCTCACAGGGCAAGCCAAAGTTCCCCTTGCCCTAAATCACTCTAGGGCTGGGTACCAAGCAACCAGAGGCCTGTAGCCCAAAGCCCACCAAACCATTCAGACTAGCTAGTCCTAAGCTGCTTACCTTGTCCTTTTCTTTGCCTTTCCCAAGGAAACTCCAAATAAGGCCCTGGCCTAGACATTCCCCTCGCCCCCACCTCTGTCTCCTGACCACATTGGTGTTCTTTCACTGTGACCCTGCATGATGTGCGGTGACCTCCTTCCCAGGGACCCGTGACCGAAATCGGCTTCTCCCTCATCTCCTGAGGCCACACGGACTTCTCCATACCATCCCCAACATGTGTATTCTTAGAGCAGACATCCCTAGGAAGAGTAGCTTTCCTTTGCAGGGTAAGGAACCAGGCAAAAACCTGAATCAGTCAGGTTTGTACCACCTAGTTCCAGCAGCCGGTCACAGTGCTGCCTTCATTGCAGGCTGTCACACCCATGATGTTTTAACTGTGTGTTTTGCCAGCCTCAACCTGGCTGTGGCCACACAAGAAGGATGTGGATCCCTCTCCATGGCAAAATCGCCTGGCTGCCAGCCATTGAAATTTCAAGCTTTCCTGTCCTGAGGCCTCTTTCATTTAGTAACTGTTTCTGCATTCAGAAACAAAACCAGTGTATCTCAACAACCTGGGTGTGGGGGAGCAAGCAACCGGCTTTTAGTTTGGGGAGACCGAACGGAGTACGCCTAAGAACCCACCCAAAGGGCATTCATTTGACTTAAGGAAAGCGAGGGAACTCTATTTCTGAAATGGATTAAGAATTGCACTACTGAGAAAGATAACATCTAAAAATTGATATTGCCTTTTGCTGAGCTGGCAGAGTCCCAAGAGAGGAGTGATGATTCTTCAATTGTTAACAATTACTACTTTGTTATAAAGAGACTGGGAAGCGCCAGGTCCCTTTCTCCAATTAATTTCCATTGCAGAAGCGCATACACCTCCTGGGGAAAATTCCTGGCAGCTTAGACTGTCAGAGCTGTACCTGCCACTGCATCTCGTAGCAGATTCGTCCTGTCCCGTGTCGTACCCATTCGCTTTGAGTGGAAAAAGGTCCTGTTTATTCTTGTAGCTCTGAACTGGGCAAGTCACCAGCATAGCATTGCCTTACTCTGTGAGTCTTATCACTGCACGTTATCATGTATATTCTGTGGTTATTCGTTTTGCTGCTAGTTTCAATGAGATGTTTGTTGTAGGCACGTACCTTTGTTTTGCCATCCTTTTATCCCGAGGACATAATTGTGCCTGAAAGTGCTAAAGAAAGAAGGCGACATGCTAAGCCATGCCTGTCTTTGGAAAAGGCGAGTTTTGCACATGGAAATGTTTACACCTCCGCTTGTCTGATCTGTAGAATTTGAACGGGGACCCACGGAGTGTGGGTGTGTGACTGCAGGGCACGGAGAAAGATGACTTAATATCGCCTGTTGGCATGATTGGCTTTGATATTTGCCCTCTATTCTCTCTCATTATGCTCATCAAGAAAAAGATCCAGTTTCTCTTCAGTTCGCAGAAGGAAGAGCATCACTAGTCAAAGTAAAACAGCATTCCCTCTGTTACCCTCTTTGTTCTCACCCCTCAAACCTACAGGTAATAACTGTGGGGCTCTCGCAGGTATCAGGGAGCCCTCCCTCTTGAAACCTAAACCCGGGTTAACTAGTTATCTGATAGCAGAGAGGAAGAGCTTGGATGTGTGGGATGTCCCCGGATGCAGCAGTAAAGCATCGCATGCACCCCCAGTATAAAATGGACATACGATTTGGAAAGCCAACCTGGTTGCAAGATGATGTGGAGAAGGAAAAAAGCTGGCTAGAAGTTGCTGTTGTTTTGTGTGTGATTGTTGTTGCTAGGTAGAGGAATCACTTGTTTTATATCTATTTGAGGAATCACTTGTTTTTATGTCTTTTGGACTGAAAAATGACTCTGAGGTCCCCCCTCCCATTCACTTTTCATTTACTCCCTGCAGAAATTAAGACATGTGACAAGCCTATATGAAGATATATTGGAATTTGACAAGAGTTATTTGTTTGTTTTTTAACTTACTACGGTTGAGCTGTCAAATTTATTAGGTAATGGATTATTCATAGTTTTTAATCAGATAATGGAATATGATATTTTTAAAGCCACAACTCTGTCTTAGAAATATGACTCCTCTTAGGCCTTTTGTTTTATATTTTCTCATCCTTTCTACTATTTTCAAATAGAAATTGCCATCATGCATGTGTACAGATACTTACCCTCTTTTTATGCAGAGAATTTGAGTTGTCCCAAATAGCCTTTGTTATCAAGAATAGAGACACCCTCAGGTCAGGTCTGTTAAGCAGTTATTGTTCATAATCACGGGAAGAAACCTTCTCAAGAAGCAGACCTCATGAAAACCTGCACCCTTACTTGGGGTGATTAGTACCTCTAGTGGCTAAACAGCAAATCTGTCGGCCCCTCCCTCTGACCAGGTCACGTGCTGTCCCCTG